CAGCTTAGCTGTTCGTGACCTCTCAAACTTGGTTAAGCCAGAAGATATTGTCGCGTCAGAACATCTCGTGACTCTCCTTGCCGTTGTTCCAAAGTATTCCCAAAAAGACTGGCTAGCATGTTATGAGACATTGACCGACTATGTGGTAAATTGTTGACTTGTTGCGATTGTGATGTAACAACATTATTTTGTCGCACAGTGATTTTAATCAATTTATCCTAACTGTTTTCAGGTTCCTAGGTCCTCGAAGAAATTGTTTGAGGATAATGAGTATGCTCTTTACACCGTCACTCTCTTTACTCGTGTTGCAGACAATTTCAGGACGAGTGCCCGTGAAAAAGGGTACCAAGTGAGTATGCTGTTCAATTTTCTCATATTACCACTAGAGAATTCTTGGAAGTTGGAAATTATCATCTGCTAGTAGTAGTGATATATCCTTAGAACTGATTTTCTTCACTGTGCAAGTTAAGACATTTGATTGATTTTCAAAGCTTTCTTTGTTCATCATATTTTGTACGCTGTTCTCTGTTAGGTCCGTGATTTTGAACACAGCGTTGAAGCACAAGAGACTCGTAAACAAGAGCTAGAAAAGTTGGTTCAGGATCAGGAAAGTTTGAGAAGCTCTCTTTTGCAGTGGTGCTACACCAGTTATGGAGAGGTATCTACACTTTGCTCTCTCTATAGCTATACTCTTGTAATATCATCGCAGAAATGAATACCCGAATCTGTTTTGATCATCGGTCTATATCTGTAGGTTTTCAGCTCATGGATGCATTTCTGTGCTGTGCGTATATTCGCTGAGAGCATTATGAGATATGGTTTACCTCCGGCGTTCTTGGTAAATCAAGACTCCAAACTATGATTTTCTGGAGAATTCCTCAACATTGTTAAATCCCTGACCAACTTATTTTCTTTTGTCAGGCATGTGTTTTATCTCCGGCTGTTAAAAGTGAGAAGAAAGTACGCTCCATTCTTGAACGTATGTGTGATTCTACCAACAGGTATGTCCAAAGTCTCTGCCTATTTATCGCTCTAGGCGTAGGATACACAAAAGCTGGTTAACATTCAACTTCATAGTGCTCCCTCGAAGAAAATTGTAGTGATAGTTATGACCCTTATAACAAACATATTGCAGAACTATGAGGAGAAAACCAAGTAAAACCAAACTTGTATTAGGTCGATATGAAAATGAAACATTACTGATTCCACCCTGCTTCGTTTGGGATCTAAGTCGCTTTAGTTGAATGAGAATCATCTATATAAATTGTTAATGAGATTCCGATTTGAGTCCTGGAGTCTGATTATTGTATGAAAACAATGCAGTTTATACTGGAAAAGCGAGGAAGATGCAGGAGCTGGAGGAGCCATGGCTGGTTTGGCGGGTGATTCCGAGACACATCCTTATGTCTCCTTCACAATCAACCTTGCTTAAAAATTGATAAGAGATGCTTGATGCTTCTTCTCTGTCCTCCATCTTCATCTGTTATATTTGTTTGTGTTCTATATATTTCATTTTTTTTTCGTAATATATATTTTGATTTTCCAAATAAAAGAAGGGAAAAAATGAAGGTGGCACTCAAGAGAGAGATGTTACTGTAATTTTATTTTTGGCCGGAGTCTTGTTAGATTCCGGTGAGTTTCTGATACTTGTGGAGGAGAAGAGCTTATACAGTTGTTAAAAGCCTCTTGTCATTTTGTTACTACAATTGGTTGCTATATTAATATTATTACTCTGTTTCGTTTGTTTCTGTCTTTGTTTGGTCTGAAAGATATTATTTTGCTTTTATTGGGATTTTCGAAACGAGCTACGTGTTTGATGTCGGAAATGCTCTGGAAGTTAGCAATAATACAAAAGGTGGTGAAATTTGTAGCTGAGTGAAGATGCTAAATCGGGAAATTTGGAACCAAAATGACAGTTTTATACAAAATATTACTGTTATTTACCTTTTTGAAGAGGAATAGATCGTCCTAGCCGTTTTCTCCCAGACACGAGAATCGAGGCATCCACATCAACCCAGATCTCCGACGCCGGTGAAGCCGTGGCTCGCCGGCGTCAGACCGTTGCCCCTGTTACCG